GTTCGACCTTTGGGGATGCATATCCAATGATGTAATGATTACGAATAGAACAGTTGCCGTCGGATGTCGTCGGGGAATCCGCCTTCACTTCTACTTTCCAACTGCTAATGACGCGACCTGACTTGTGCCGATAGTATGTCGAGACACTTCTCATATTGGTAAACAACAGGGACTGCTGTGCCTGCTTCCAGTATGGCCGGACAATATAATCTCGAACATAGTCGGCAGTTTGTCCAACGTTCAAGATGGAGCAATCATTCAGATGAGAAGCATTTCGGAGTGATAATCGAAAGAGAGTCTGACAAGAACATGAGCTTTACTCGTGTCATAAAGGAATAATTTGTCTTACCCCGACATAAGAAGTGGTAGCTGATAACTTGAAGTCAAATAACCCGTCAAGCGCAGCGAGGTGGACCGGGTACATCCTGATAAACAAAGTCAGGGGTAATATCAATCCCAACTGCAAGATGCAGACCGTTGCATTTGCTGAAGGGGCAGGAGTAGTGAAGCCCAATCATCAAGTGGAAGGTGCGTCTTGGACGGATCCAGAAACAGAACCTTATCGCCGGAGACAATCATTGCCAGCTACAAAGGAATATCAGCAATAATACTTATAGGACACAAGGTTAACACCTACTTCCGTGAAATGGAACATAGAAAGAGCCCCCAAACCAAACTGTCCAATCGTACTTGTCTCACCTTCCTTCCCGCCCACTCCAGTTTTACAGATGCCTTCAAAATCCGCCTGCGTGAACATACTATTGTTGTAAACGATTAAGGAGGAGCAGCGTTGGAATGGGGCCATAAGGGGTGAAAGCAAACGCTCGTACGGAGCATGACGATCATCAACCAAAATCTTGAACTCCATGGCTCCTGCGTCCGAAGCGTTTGCGAAGAACTCGGATAGCATTTGCTGCTCAGTGTACTGCTTCAACACATTTCGAATGGTGGTCGTCAGCTTCTCGCCCATATCAATAGCCGGTTTCTTCAAGTGAAGGAATTTGAGGCCCAGTCTGCTCATATGGAGGCGCTTTGCTATCTGTTCATTCAACTGCGGATGTGCTAGTATTAAGTCTCCGGCCTCGATAAAGGCCCGATCACCTATGTCGTTGAAGTACACCTCACTAGCAGGACGAAGTTGTCCAAACATGTCAGGAACGAGAATCTTCGAACGTTCCTCTTCAGTCAGACTGAGTGGGAGAGCTTTCAGTATCAAAAGAGCCTAAGGAAATATTAAGCTGAGGTAGAACTGGGTGTGAGGAAATGTACGGTACCATCTGCGTTTTGTCTGGACTAGCCGGATATTTGTGCAGATTATTGAGCTCGGACACAAGAATATCAATCGAAGGCCTATAAACGAGTGTTAACGTTTTCCCCAGCTGTAGTAGGTAGAAACTTACCTCTCTGTACATCCCATCTTGAGCAGAAACTCACGGATTTCAGGACGGTCTGCTAAAGCCAGAGGGACTTCATGGAATCCTGCTAAGGGAAGCGGAAGGAAGAAAACTGCGTGACTGGTGGTAGTAATATAACGAGAGTTTATCGGAATCCATGCACGATTATCAGTGATCCCCTTCAAAGTCGTAAGATCTTCCTCCGAGAGCACCCTTTGACTAAGCTCCTTTATTATGACTCTAAGCTTCTTGTAGGCGCCATTCGTGCCGCGTGCACTGATAACCAGGCTAAACTGCTGGGTCAAGGTGGCAAACGACAGTGGTTTATCCCAACCCAGTGCTAGCCGGAGAGAATGGGAGACGTTTATAGTCTCATCGATCAAAGGATACACCTCGTCAAACAGTTCCGAGCGGTGCAGACCGTGATCCAAGCATTCTTCGTGACCCAACATCCCTCGGTTAGTCGGTAGCCACTTTGCATCCACGGGTATCTCCAACTGGGTGCAGTCAAATCCAGACGTAAATAAGAGGTCAACCAAGCGAATCGATAGCGTTTTGGCGTTGGTCAGATTAGAATCGCGTATCGAAGATATATGCTGTATTCTTTCAAGAATAATCTCCATTGTCAGAGTTCCTCGAAGTATCCCTAGGAGCCTTAGCTGCTTCAAAACGAAGCCTGCATCGTCATCCATCGATTTCGGAACACGATCACCACTGTCCGTATACAGAGCCATCACCGGCGTCGTGGGATCAATTACATGCTCCGCTGACTGCAGGGAGCCGTCAATGACAGGTATAAACTTCGTTGTTTGGAGTATCTTCAACAAACGAGGAGGCAAGCTATCGCGTCGCTGAACCATATCCTCGAGGAACGCATGCTGAAGGAACTTTGACTGTTCGCCGAAATGTTCTAGAGCGAGGGCTATAATGTCTATGTCAGAAAGCGGCACGCTGTTCTCCGAATCAATGTGGGACAATATGGCAAGGTCGATGTCCGACCCGTCGAGGTAGATGACGTCACCAGTGAGTGGAAGCAGTGAGGATATCGAAACCGTGACCCCGTAAACGGTGGCACCATCAGGAATACAACCAACAGCCTTTGTCGTGTTCGTCTTCGGGACCTTCAGCGGGATACCCAAAAACCTGGGTGTCTTTTCGGGTTTGATAAGGCCTCTCGAAGGGACAAGGATCGGAAAGATCGGTAATGATCGCAACTTGCGCCTTTGGCTAACACTGAGGCGTTCTGTACGGCAGAAATCGAGGATAGCAGGGATTAAGAAGCCCAGGATGATGGTAGCTGTTTGTTTGTCTATGCCGATGCCAGCAGAGAATCGTGTACGGTCAAGGAGCGAGTGGACGTCTGCGTCTGGGAATCGCAGAATACCAGATAACTCTTTGAGGGCATTCTGAGCAACCACTGAGAATTTCGGGTGTAGAAATTTAATCTGCAGCAACTGAAGCGCAGACTGCACCGACGCCTCCAAAACTTCTCCGGAGAAGATCCCATCTCCAACAGGTTCTAGTGATCCATCCTTTGAGGGCAGAAGGTGGAACTGAGAAACCATTGGCAAAAGTTCTTCCTTCCTATTCCACTCTCCTAACCATTCCCAGAACTTCGATAACCACAGAATGGCGGTCTCGTCGGAGGATTTCTCGGCAGTCGAAAAATCTATACCATATGGAGACATTCGCAGATAACTCACAACATGCTCGGGACAAAGACGAGTCAGGTTGTAGCCGTCGGCGCCCTGTGAAAGCAGGAGCTCTCCAGCCGAGCTCGAAAGCCTGTCCAAAGGTATAGCTGAACGATCGAACCCTTGGAACGTATTGAAATCAGCCTTCTCTAGTAGGACGTGAATGTTTGGTGCGTTAAGTTGGAGAGTAGCATATTTTCCGCTGACTAATGGGATAATGGGAAGGCCAAGGATGAGCGCAAGACGCTTCATCGATATGAGGTACTCCAAAATGGCCAGGGAAGCGGTAGTATCCGAGGCGCTGAGCTGTTCCAGCGAAAATCTATGATGCTGTAAAATATAAATCCTAGATGAATAACATGACAGCATAAGATAGAAGCGACTTACGAGTAACCCAGCATGTGCAATGTCCGGAGTTAATGCTGTATGATTGATATCCGCTTTCATGATATATTCAGGGGGCTGTATGATCTTCAGTCCTGCATCAACTAAGGCCTGCAGGGCCTTGACGTCGATTGCACCGCCTGCGACGATGACAGACCGGAGATCCTGGAAGGCCGCAACTTCCGTATTCCAAGCTTTGCTCTTAGGGCTACGCGGTACGAGTGGCCAGACCAATGCGCCTGAAGATACAACGGCGGAGAGGAGATTGCGAGGTAGATCTTGCCAATACGTGCTATCACCCGTTTCCACGATCGGTTGAGCAGCCGGCCAAGCTCGGTAGATCTCTTTGAGCCCATCTTGTTTAATAAGTACAGGGAAAAGTGCAGCCCAAGCCTTAGGAAGGTACTTGTCAAAGAGTAACTGATTCCATTCGACAAGGACACTGTCATCGCTTCCACGAACAATTCCAATTTCCATCTTGTTGGTGAGATTCTGCCTCGACTGCGTCAGCGCGAAGAGTCCATGGACATGACATGGGAATCCGGTACGTATAGGGAGTGGGAGGTAGGTGAAAAGACGACCGGATGTCTGCTCGGCCGTCAGGATGGACATGGGGACAGCGAGTGATACCGACGGGACCAGCTTGTGTTTCGACAGCACAGGACGTGCGTTCCGTCCCAATCTATACGATACCAATGACGCCGGTTCGGCTTGATCAAATGAAGATTGAAGGACGCACCAGATTATGGTATCATTCCGGGACGGAGACGTGATGTTGATGGTCTGTATCAAAGTAGTGTGGCTGCCATCCTTTTCCCACTGAGAAGGCAATCGCTTGGATATGAAGACGCCGGCGAGAAAGGTTCGAACTCCCTGTTCATCAATCTCGTGTATCTCGATCTTGGAGACGTGCTTGAGAAAGAGGAGTGAAACACCGAGTTCCTCTTCAATGAAGTCACGAAAGAGAGTACGTATTTCTCCAGAAGTGACGACTTTGTTGCTGATGCTGCTCCGGGATTGAGGGGTACGAAGGGGAAGTCGAATTACAGAGCCCAGGAAGGGCGTTCGGGAGGGGCCTGGAGGTAGAAAGAAGTCGAAGCAGGTTAGGTGGTCAGCGTATGAGTCTCCGAGCTCGACAAAGTTGAATTTGGTCCCGCCGGACTCACTGAAGTGGTGATGAGGATCCAGGATAGCAAGCGATGTTCCCAAGGCGGGCTTCCTTAGGTAACATTTCACGACGCGTTTGATCGTGCTAGCTCGGCTTCTCGAGCCACCGCCACCATCCTTCATATTACTACGAGTCATGCCCCAAGGCGATTTTCCTACGATTATCGTGAATACGATTATCGCCAACGTTTATCACTTTCCATACTCCGACAATATCGACGATGGCAACCTTGCAAAGCTCAACGATGAACGCCGGTCGGCTTTATTATCTTATTCCTTGGTTTCTAGCACATGGCTAGAGTGCAGCCGATACCATCTTTTCCGAACCACCACTATTTCCCCTGTCAATTACATGACCTTCATGGACCTTATCACCAGTCCATGCTGCTCTTTCCTTCGCTCCATCCATACCTTGATTATCCAGGAACTTGAACAGCTGAACGATGACAATGGTTTTAACATGATCATCTTGGCCTGCAATTTAGCGAACCTTTCGCTCCTAGAGACTCCTTCGACCACCACATCTTCCATATTCCCCAACCTTAAGAAGCTATGTATAGACAGCACAATCTTCCCTCTCATTTCAGAGGAAAACTGGGCGAATTTTCTCCTTTTTTTATCCAGTCTGACTGGAATGACGCATTTAGCTTTCGAATCGTGCTATTTCCCTACCCTGGACCATGTAATCCGCATTCTGTCGTCGTGCAGACTCTTGGAGTCTGTGTCTTTGGACTATAACCAGTGTGAGGAAAGCCTGCCTCCAGAAGAAATGACTCCATCCTACCTCGGTGGACTCCCTGCTTCTTTATCATCATTGCTGTTTACTGTTGGCTATGAAGACAGTCTTATTCTGCAAATCATCCCTATTGCTGGTCCATCACTGAAGCATTTGAGTATATCTTTGAACCTTCCCAGTATAACAGACAATGGTACATATTATAATGATCTCGATTAAATTGCGCTGACATTCATCTCTTCTGTTGACTAGAAGCAGCTTCGTTCTCTCGCAACACAAACCTCGAGTACAGCACAAACCTTGAAACCATCATATTCCCATTTGTCCCTATAAGCAATGACTTCGGTATTGTGGTTTCTTGCACTCGACATATCCCTGATATCCTTCGAAAAGTCACATCTTCATCCATCAATGAAATAACCTTGGCAGTCTGCATATTGTCTGCCACTGATTTCAATAACCTTGATTGGGAGTCCATCATCGAAACCTTGAGTCGGGAGAACTACAGGAATCTTGAGAGATTCTCGGTTCTACAGGTAATGAAAGATATAGAGGACGAGTCGAAGAAATGCATCGCTAAAGAGTTGAAGCCGGTGATGAACAAGAATCCATCACTTGAGATTGTAGTCAGCAGGAGGCCTAGCCAGTTCATGGAAGCACGCTTTGGATGGTGATTTTGACCATTGGGTTACCCATCAATGAGGTGGCGTTATACCTGTTTTATTATTGTGTAGCCTGTAAATTTCTCCATTACACAGCAGGATGTCTTCACAAGTGTCGTCCCTCCTGAAGTGTCCACCTGTTCACATTCAATGGATTTATTTTTTCTCCCATGCTGAAATGTTGTATAAAAGTTGTGGTATGTTATGTGAAAAGATACTTGTGGTATAATGGTGTTCTCGCTTGTATGATCCAGATAGCTTTGAACATCCCTTGTCGGGGTGCATAGGACCATGGTGTAATTACTGTAAAACTACCTAATAATAGACGCGTATTTCAATGGGCTCTCCACCCGCTTCAGTTTCCTAGTCATCTGCTCTTTCACCCATCCAAGAAACTTGTGTTTCAAGCCCACCCACCCAACCTTTCTCAGCCTTGGGTAGTTTTCCCACTATCAAAGGACTCAAGCACAGCGTCTCATTTTTTCCCCTCAGACCGTATGAAGATGAGCCCAGTGCCGAAAATCATGGGAAACATGGAAAGCGAAGGGAGCACTTCGTGTACAAGTCAGTCGGTTCTTCCTTGGCTGAATCGTTGCGAGGCGGGGCACCATGCCCTCAAAGATCAACGCCTCGCGGACATACGGTGGCGCAAGTTTTTCAGATAAGTAGAGCCGCGGGGGGGTCTGAATGTGAAGCAGTGGATCAAGAGAAAGGCAGCTTGCGGCTTGCCAGTGGAATTCAAGCCCAAGTCTCAGACCCTCAATTCTGGAACGCTTTCAGGATCCGATTTGAGATGGCTCCATAAGCCAGTAGGGGACAGATCAACAGTTGCTTTAGTACACAGTGCTTTCATGTCGCTAGGCAGATGAAGCAGTGAGTCTGGAACCAGGCAAATCTGCAGAGGAAACTAGAGATCACCGGAGGTAGACTGCATGAAGCCACGTAGATATCTGTACCTGGAGGAAACGGTTGACGCCCGGACCGAACAACCGCCAAAACTTCGGAAGCAATTATCCCACCACGAGACAAAAGATCCGTATGTAATGTAGTACCCAACACCTCGACTCTACCTCAGAAATCTCATACAACGCCTTCAGGTCCAAAGGATATTAAGCAAAGTAAATAATTACACATGAACGATAACTTACATCGACTTGTTCTGTGAGCTCAGCACCTCCGCCTTCTTACGACAACATGATACGTTTTCCCCCTCCTCTGTCTCGCCCCACAGCACAGGAATCAAGTTCGACGTCGCCGAAATGACCAAGGTCGAGGTGACCGTGAGACCGAGGTGGAGAGGACATAAGATCAGAACGATTCTCTGCGGACGAGAACTACGTTCCACCACCAAGCCTGTAGCGCGAAGTTTCTCCCTTCCGGGGGAAAGAAAGACTCCAGGTAATAAACCATGTTGTTGTGGGTAAATATAACCGTAGGAGTTGTAAAGTTGCGGGCATGTTGCTGCTCCACTCAAACCGCGACAAAAGGTCGCATGACTGGCATTGGAAAGGAAAGCGAATTGTATTGATGAGCTTGGACGACATTGCGCAGTTCTGGCTCAAGTTGATGCACCTAGCCCTATCACAACTAACACAGTCTTCTCTAAAACTGAGAAAATGAAAAAGAATTCCAGAGAAAACACGAACCTACAGCTGAAGGGAAATATACCCAATGTCGGGGACGGAAGCATGGCGTGTTGGAAACTATCCCGGTTCTTGACCACGAAAAGGGTCTGTCAAAGACACCGAAAGTAACTCGTCGGCGCAAGCATAATTTGCGACAGTTGACCTTGACAAAGCAACGAAGCCTGTCCTCTTCGTACGTCGTCCCTAAGAACAGGGATCGTGGCTACACATGCTTGTTGAGACTAGCCAAGCCGTGACCCGGAACGACCGTTCCGCTCTCGGGCATGCAAGGTGCAGGGCGATTAGCAGGAAAAACTGCACGTGCGAGGAACGAGTAAGCACCGACCAACGCCATCACTCTAGGCTTAGTTGATGCAGCTGCAGGCCGGAGAGCTGCCGGTTAACTCGTGGCTACCAGCGGCGAGATCCATGCCGGCCAGATGAAAGCTGGCTGCGTCATCCACAGAGCACGACATTGGATTCGAGAATCTCAAACACCGAGTTGCATGGACATATGTCCACATATCTTTTCTGACGCCGAAAGAATGAAGTCCTACAAAGCAACACAAGCCGAAACGTTGACCTTACCCCTTCATTCCATGGACTGTCATTCACTGAACTTTCCAGAACAGGAAGCGCGATGAGAGTGAGGACAGCATAATGAGGGTCCCTCCGGCACCGACCGCACCATCGAACCCTGAAGAGACTAACGCTGTGGGAACTATCAGCAGGTCTGCTTTAGTGGAGAGATCCAAAACGCTGTCTTCAATCTTGCGCCTATAGATAGATTGGCACCTGAAGAACCCCTTGCGGGAAGGAACAGAACGAGGTACTTACATGCGAATATTAGTGATGAAACCGAAGGTCGGCAAAAACGTGGGCCCACATGAACGTCAAGGGAAACCAAAGAATCGCCGTCAGTTCGCGGATGCCACACGAATTTGCACACAAAGGTCGTAGAATTACAATCTCTCTCTACGAACCAGATTCGCCACTTGGTTGCTGGAAGTCTTGGTTCTGAAAAATGTTACAGTCCACGAACACAAAGAATCAAATTGATAGACATAGAATACATGACTTATTTATTCTTCGATGAAGATACGTAGCGCCAACCCAATCTCCTGTTCAACAAATAAGAATGCGAAAGAAACACAATTTAGACAACAACCTGTAATCAACATGAATATATGCGCAAATATTTGCAGCGGGAACATGATGAATCTGGAACATATACAGATGACAAGAAAATCTACTAACAATGAGTAGGAAAATAGCCATATGAACGTTAGATACGCACAGGTAAACCTGGCTGATGTAATAAAAACTCACGAAGAGTCGAAAAGTGAAAAATTGGCCACCGTGCAAAGTGATGGAGCTCATCGTCCTCGTACGCCTAACCAGCACCGAAAAGCAACGTCTTCACCCGGCTATCCCACAAGCTTATCGAGGTGGGCCAGATCTTCGACCCAGAGAACTTCCAGTCTACACGAGGGCATGCAGATAGAAGAAAATGCTCCAGGTATACAAGCTAGGGTGTAGGCAGGAGATGGTGTCCCTCGAGGCCGACGAAGCCAACGTACTTTATGTAACAGAGGAAGCTGGGATTGTCGCATCCTTGAGAACTGCAACCTAGGCCTACGACGAGAACTAGAGGCGGCAGACTCGCGATCAGATCCCGTGTCGGCGACTGACGGAGCAAATGGTGCTGGCAGTCACCAGTGTCGTCCGCACAAGGGGTCGACATATGACACACAGGCTGTGAGGCAATTGCTGCGCTCCTAGAATCTGTATCTGCACCTCCATTGAGAAGATGCATGGCACCAATAGACTACAGAGCTTCAAAGCAGGACGAGGCAGGGACGAGGACCTCACCTGCTCAGCCTATCTTCACGACGCGCCGCCCTCTCCGTTGAGAACCCTTCAGCCAACATCTTCGAGGACGATAAGCACGACGGGAGCGAAGATAAATGCCGAGGTCCTCAGGTTGGTGAAATAAAATATGTTTTTCTGTATGTGCAGGAGACGACCAAGACGCTGTCCTTGCACGAGAAAGATGGTGGTAGGAAAGAAACACGAGTGAAAGCCGCGGGCTCAAATTTTCATTTATTTGTTTGGCAACAGCCTTTGCCTTTTGCTTCGGTCCGAATGCTTCCGAACGACGGAACTTGCTCCGATCTCTGTCACCCGGTACCGCCCCCGCTGAATTTACTCGCACCTGACAAGCTGGATTATGATTCCTAACTCCAGATGACTTGATTTGTATTCTAGCTAAAATTTTATCCTTCTCTTGGTTTCTCTAATCCTTGGCTATGCAATGTTTCATGGGTTGTTTCAACTGAATTGCATTTACTCTGCCTCTTTCCTCCATTCTACCGAGACCCCCGCGTCATATTTTCCTGCTCCTTGTCAGAGGTCGGTGCCTCAATTTTAATCTTAAAGACTGGTTATTGAGCTGTTAGAATATCGTCTAACCTTCTTACCTATGAAAGAGCTCACTGTATCTCGTACATGGAGTCCCTACCTGCGGATTTCCTTCTGAACAGCGCAAATATGTCGGCTGTGGTATCTCTCATATCTTGAGTCAGAACGGCACATGTCCTACGACTTCCTTGGCCTTCCAGTCGACGGAAACCTCACAACGATATATCTGCTTTTCATTTTTGGCGCTATCTTTTGCTTGTTAGTTCTACTACTTTTATATTAAGCCATCATGCTAACTTCGAACCAGAAATCGTTATTTTCTCTGACTTCGTCGCCCCAATTCAAGACACGGTGGTGATTTGGAGAGTGCGGTTGTCTATGACAGTCATGACTTTTGCAATTACGATACGGCAGTCCTCGGTGACGCGGTGCAAAAAATATGTCCAACAACCACGTTCACGTCGAGGACCCCGTCCGAAAGTTAAGCAATTTATACCTGTGAAATGTGCTGATTATATGACCAGCTATTTTCGAATGATATCAATACCGCTGCAGGGATTGACATCATTTCAATGCTACTCTTGAACAAGAATAGCCTGATCCGTACGAATACTCTCTTCGTACGTTTCAGTTTTAATGCCAAGAATTTCTCACAAAAATATCCGTTTGGGTCCCAGACGTCCACAAAGAATTTATACCTGAAACGAGAAGCCAGAGATGGATTCGACTGATGTAAGTGGCGTCCATAAAGTTCGATATTTTTGCGTGGTCGAGGGGATGTTTGAGCCTAAATATATATCAGCAGTTTCATAATTTCTGACCAGGGTCCTTTTCTGCTACAGCTGTTGACGTCGTCTATAAAGCAGTGGAAAACTCAGTGCGCGCCTCCCCCGACGATGTTGTGGGCGAGTACCCCGTATCCTGTGCCAATAGGATGGCTGTACATCGCCGAAACATTTCTCCAGGACCTAATACGGATCACGAGTCAAAATGTCATAATCGCAATTCTCACGCATGAGGCATTAAAGTAAACTGATGCTGCTTCCGAACAACCTATTATGTATTCCATCCTCCTGCCACGATGTTTAATTTACTACTCCTCGCGCTTACCGTCGTCCTTCCCGTCTGGTCTCGAGATGCTGTTGTCTCAGAGGTACCCATTTCTATCAACGATTTCTCTTTCCAATGCCGACTTTAAACATATGAAGGCGTCGTCGTCTTAAGCGGACCAAGTCCAGTCAACGGCACCGTCATATTCCAGCCGTCCAGCTATGATGGACCCGTTCATGTAACGGGACGCATTGTAGGGCTAGATCCCTCAGCCTTACGAGGTTTCCATGTCCAGTACGTCCAGCATTTCTTTTGCCTTCATCGTTCCAACCACCCCGTAGCACCTCCGGGAACCTCACAGACGGCTGCACATCAGCGGGAGAACATTATAACCCATTCAACACCACGCACGGTGGTCCCACCGATCCCATAACCAAAAGGCACGTAGGCGATCTCAGAAATATCCAATCAGATGCGAGCGGTGTTGCGGTGCCGGGTATTACTGATGAGAGTATTTCGCTGAATGGACCACTGAGCATTATCGGGTACGTTTTCTTTCCGTGAGGTTTTTATGAAGGTATTGACTTGATTTCCTAGACGTTCCATGGTCGTTCATGCGGGGACAGATGATCTAGGGAAGGGCAGAACGAACCTGTCGTTGACGACTGGAAATTCTGGGGCAAGAGCCGCGTGTGGAGTTATTGGTACGTGTTCTTGTAGGTGTTTTCGCGATACGTCTCTGATACAGAGAACTTTTCTAGGATTGTCATAGTGCCGAGCTTTGAATTGGATCTTTTTAGCTGTGTGAATATGTTACTGTTCCCTACACTCCCAGCAGAGTATCGTCGTTATGGACATCACTTGATCATTGTTCTACCACCCTAATACCAATGAAGTCGACTGTTTTTGTTCGGATCACCATTTTTGAGAGCATTGTTTCAAATTCAAGGTCAACATGATGCATGATGGCTTCTTTCCTTTTAAAGCCGACCTTTTCCGTTCATCACAGCTTCCACCTTTCCTCGTGTTCTCTATGAACAGACTCAGGAATTATCCAAAGAGCGCCCGAGTCAAGACCCGAATCGTCACAAGGAGATTCCGGCACCCATCCCGCCTCTTACCTCGACACAGCCTATTCCGTACGAAGAAGAATCAAGACCAGATGCCTCACATCCCAAACAAATCACCAGACACACGTCGCGCCCTTGTCTCTGTGGAATGTACGGCCCGGGGGGGTGCAAGTGGCATTTCTTCTACCCGTTCCAGACGATCCTCGCCATCCGCGAAATTCTTCCGTCCCAGGAGGCCTTTGGACGGTCTCTGTATGTTAGCACTGTCCTAACTGGCGCTGGCATTCTAATACCTTTTCAAGCATCAACGGCGTTCTCGGGCCACCCATCCCTTCGCTCGCGGAACCAAATCCCATATCGCTCACGGACTCGCAGAAGGAGACATTCCTCATGACAACTTCGCGTACGAACAAGGATCCAACGTTTGCTATCATCAAGACGCTCGCGTTCGCGTTCTCGTCTCCGTCGCGCGAGGACGACATAGGACCTTGGGCTCAGAGCCAAGACGGCAGGCTCGTTTGTTCCGGATGTCGGTGCGGATATGATTCGACTACTTGGGTGGACCATCGTGATTCCTGCTCGGGAATAGAAGACGCGATTTTGAGGTCTGTGGTCGATGTATGGGAGATCGAGGCGAGGATGAAGGCGCTGTCATAATATCACAACATAGTGTGTCAGTATCGCAAATAGATTTTTATTGTGTAGAATACACACGGTGCGGCCAAGCAGGTCAGGTGTGCCCAAGACGCGTCTTTATCGCGCCGTTGACCACGACCACGTGATTTTGTTTGTTTCGAAATTGAAATTCATTGCCCCTTTTTCATCAAGGAAGTACTATCTTTCCTCCATCCTGTCAGTGGCTCAGGTTCACTGATAAGCCACACTTTATTTCATACAATAAGGTGTCGTCCTGAGAGAAGCATACACAAAAAGGGTTGAGGTCGTCGTGGTCGATGAAGAAGAGTTGTTTGGCCCACGGCGGCAACAAACAAATCCCGCGTTCCCTTTCGCCATCACTGTCAAAGTCCGACATCCATTGAAAAGGTGGGCGTACCTGTTCATCAATCTTTGTCAATGCCAATAGCGTGCTGTTGATAACGAATAGGTCTCCATTTCTGTCTTGGTCCAGCGCTACGTTCTGCTTTTTGACGCTATGAAATCCTGGCGGCAATAAAAGTCGCATCTTAATGGCCAGAGTACTATGTTCGGGTATCAGTAAATCTCCAAGTACTTGTCACGATTCTCTGCTCAGCTTTTTACTTTAGACTATATATTAGGACCTATCTTTCAATCAAAATTGCCTATACCGAATAGATGGTATCAACCATCCCAAGATGACCAATCTACTTGCATATAGTCGTTTTTTACTAACATCCGGATTTCGAAACAGGACGACATAGCGTCTTTGTACACGAGAGATTGGCGTACTGCTTACCATGGTGTATTTCTCCTGTTCATGGTGGGTGCTTCGTCTTCGAATGGAATGGACTCGAATTATCAAATTATCGTTGCCTCTGCTTCTGCACCCGTCGTCTGTTGTCTTGCAATGTACAATGTTTGAATGATTGCTTCTCTTCTTGCTTTTCAGACATTCCCCGACCCTTCTCGGCTCGTCATTTGGAGTAAAGACAAAATCCGAGTGTTGCGACACTGCGGCAAATGCCGTGTGACAGTCGATCCGACGAGCCTCGTTTTCGTTGTTTGTTCCTTCTTCCACTTGTTTCTCTCCTTGCTGCCGTAGTGCATGCCTATCTCGATCCTTCAATGCGACTTTAATGGCTCTTAAGCGCCAACTGCGCCCTCGTCAGGGACCTGCGAGCGAATCCGGCACCAGCCAGCCCACCTCCGTATGTCCTGATGAAAAGACACCCAATGGATTGCGCTGATGAAATATAGGCAACTTCTAC